AGTAGCTGGAACTACAGGCGCACGCTACCACGCCCAGCTAGTTTTTTGATTTATTGTAGAGATGAGGTCTCGCCATGTTCCCCAGGTGGGTCTCGAACCCGCAGGCTCAGGCAAAGTACTTACTTTAAATGAGGGAAGTAAAAAAGAAAGAAAATGGATATAACAACAAGTTAATATCATAAAAAACTATTCATACCTCACACCATATACTAGGAATATTCCAAATAGATCAAAGTAAGGAAGGAAAGAAGGAAGAGAGAGAACCATAAAAGTACTAAAAGAAAGGAGAATTCCTTGGAATAGGGAAGGGGCCCTCTTACTATAACTTGAAATTGAAAGTCATTAAAGAAAATACTGGCCGGGTTCGGTTGCTCAGCCTGTAATCCCACGCTTTGGGAAGCTGAGGTGAGTGAATTGCCTTAGCCCACGGGTTCGAGACCCACCTGGGAAACTCTACAATAAATCGAAAAATTAGCTGGGCGTGGTAGTGCGTGCCTGTAGTTCCAGCTACTTGGAAGGCTGAGGCGGAAGGATTGCTGGAGCCCAGCAGGTCAAGGCTGCAGTGGCCGGGAGAGGCCATTGCACTCCAGTCTGGGCGACTGAGTGAGACTCCAACTCAAAAAAAAAGGAAATACTAATAAATGTAAGTACATAAAAATAGTTTTTAATTTTACATGACAAAAAATACCATATGTGATATCAAAAGACAATTATAAATTGAAGGAAAATTTTTATAATTCTTTCCACAAAGAAAAAAGTAAATCTCCATTATCAAGAAGGACCTCTTATAAGTAGAAACAAGAAAAAGACCACCAATCTAATTCAACAGAAAAATGAACTAGGAACAACTCATAGAAAAGGAAATAAAAGTACTTTTGGGGCACAGGTGTAGTGGCTGAAAGTTTAATCCGATAGACCACCAAGAGCCAATTCTGATGAAAGTTCAAGAGGGCCAGGCTCAGTGGCTAAGCCTGTAATCCCGCACCTTTGAGAGGCTGAGGTGAGTGGATTGCCTGAGCCCACGGGTTCGAGACGCGCCTGGGCAGCAAGACCTCATCTCTACAATAAATCCAAAAAAAATCAGCTGGGCGTGGTAGCGCATGCCTGTAATTCCAGCTACTTGGAAGGTTGAGGTGGAAGGATCGCTGGAGCCCAGCAGGTCGAGGCTGAGGTGGCCGGGAGCGGCCACTGCACTCCAGTCTGGGCGACAGAGTGAGACTCCAACTCAAAAAAAAAAAAAAAAAAAAGAAAGTTCAAGAGGGTCTTTATTTGCAAGCTCGAGCCTGGACCTCCGTCGACAACCGACGCAGCGGAGTACACCCAGAGGCCCTGACTTTCTTAAGCAGATACCTTTTATGCTTTTACACAAAGGGAGGAGGAGTTTGGGGGGGACTTTTTAGTCTTGTTACCATTTAATTGGGTAGTAACCTGTGGTGGTCAGCCCAATCATGGAGGATTGACTAGCTTGACTTGGGCTGACCTTGGCCCACTAGCTGGGGAAGTTGCAGAGACATTTGGAAACTTTAGGTGATTTTCCCCTGGCACCTGATTGGTTGTTGCTAAGGGGAAAGTGGGACAAGGGAAGGGGTTGAAGCTTGAACTGGAGCTTTGCAGTTTTTCTCATAACTGAAACTTTAAATAGCTACAGGTGTTTTAAAACAGAAAACTAAGATGGCTGTGTTATTGTCTACAAGCCAATTATATATTTATTGGGTTATAGCATGTTCTTAACCTAAGTTTATGGTATACTCTATTACGGTTCTCTCACAGGAAAGTATAGCTGACTCCACTCATGGTAAGAGAAATACAAATTATCTTCACTGAGACACTGAGATAATCATTTTTCAGCTGTTAGATTGGCAGAAATCCAAAAGTTTGAAAATGCACACTGTTGACAAAGCTGTGGGGAAATAGGCACTCATGCATTGTTTGTGGAAGAATAAATTAGTACAAATCCTATAGAGAATAATTTGCAATACCTATCCAAATTACAAATGTATAAGTACTTTGAGCTAATCTGCTTCTTGGAATTTATCCTACAGACATACTTCCATAGGTTATTATTCACTGAAACAGTGTAGTAGTCAAATATTAGGAAATACTCTAAATGTCCATTAATAGTGAATTAACTGAATAAATCATACTACATTTATATAATGAAATATTTTGCAGATATGCAAAAACAATGAGAAAGCTTTATATACTGATATGGAAAAATATTCAGAATATATAAAGGCTGCTTTCTTTTTTTTTTTTTTGAGTTGGAGTCTCACTCTGTCACCGAGACTGGAGTACAGTGGCTCACTCCTGGCCACTGCAGCCTTGACCTGCTAGGCTCTGGCGATCCTGCCACCTCAGCCTTCCAAGTAGCTGGAACTATAGGCATGCACTAGCACGCCCAGCTAATTTTTGATTTATTGTAGAGATGAAGTCTCACCAAGTTGCCTAGGCGGGTCTCGAACCCGTAGGCTCAGGCAATCCACTCACCTCAGCCTCCCAAGGCACAGGATTACAGGCTGAGCCACGGAGCCTGGCCAACAGTAATGATCTTATAAGCCAATTATTGAAAGCATTCTGCTTTTTATTTTAGGTAACAGTACTTCAATTTCTACCTTAAGGACTTCCTGTCTGTTGGGTTGTGCAGTGATGCAAGATAACCTAGACTGCCTTGTTCAAGCTCAGTCCATCTCTTGCCTTCAGCAGCTTCATATGTTTGCTCCACGACATGTCAACTTGTCTGGCCTTGTTAGCTGCCTCTGTGTGAGTATAAAATTACAAATGAGTCCTTGGTTTCTTTTACTTGTAACTTAGATTCATTCTAGTTACACAGTTTATTTATTCTCTAGGCTGTGTACAAAATTATATGTTATATGCATAGCTACTTCCCCTCGGCTCTATTCTATTTTAGGGAATGGAGGACAGCTTTTTATGTAATTATGGAAAATTTCTTTCTCATGTATTGATTCATTTTTCTCCCAGTAATATTGAACTTAATGTTTAGATTATGTATTCTTTAATCAGTAAATATGTTGGGTGCTTAAAAAGTCCCAAGTACTGTATAAATGCTGTAGGACATGCAAAACTGTATATGGTCACCTATTTTTTTTTCTTATTTTTTCTCTATTTTAAATTATTACAGAGTTTTTTCATCCCAGATGGAGAAATAACACTTTTCCTTAATATTCTGGCAAAATGTGCATCAATATCTGGGTTCTCATAATGTTTCTAATGAATGTAGAAAGATAAAGGCAGTCAACTAGAAGTTCTGATGAAGTGGGTCATAATTGTCAGTGATTTTAAGATTTTACCTTGAGTGTCACCAATTTCTATCTGAACTTACCTGGAAAATTGAGTTGCGTTTGGCATTATTGACACCATTGCGTTTTAACTTTTTCTGCCCCTGCAGTCTTCACAAGTATATTTTGATTAGTAACATGACAATTGAAAATCATTAGACCTTACATTTTCAAGCTTGAGTCAAAATACGCACCATTTCAAATCTTGAAAGAACCTCAGAGTCTAAAAATCTGTCACATAGATTATCCCTACTTTTGTAGAATGATGTTTGCGTCATTAAAACTAATCTTCTCAATAAGAAGATAGACTGAAGACCAAAAAGTTAAATAGCTTGCTTAAGGTAGCACATCTAGGTAGTGGTCACTAAGTCTAGAATCCAGGTTTCTGCTTCGTCCAGTCCTCATTTCGTTATTCCATACTGCCATTGTAGATTTTATGGATAGGTCTTACCTCAACTCTGCCACCTCATAGCTGTATGCCTTTAGGGGAATCCCATAATCCTTCTAGCTACCTCAGCTACTTTGTAAAACATGAGGATTACACAAAATGCTGCATTTTAAGGTACATGTCCCTGACACTTAGTTAGCATTCAGTGATGGTAGTTGATTTTGCTGTCTTGACATATGTCTTGAACATACATTATATTAATCATTGAATTAAGTATTGATGCTGAAAGTCATATAAAACTTTTAAAAGAGGATATGACTGACTTTCTGACGGAAGCTTTTGTTGCTGTATTTTTTAGATCTGAATCAATCATTTATTAGAGAAAATAGCACTTATGGTAAAAGGATTTTACCTAGACCATTCAGGAACTTTTCCAAGAAATATTACTCCTTATATTTGAAGAACAATTGCCAAAACCAATTATTGAAAAATTTTCCACTCCTTTGCAAGTTGATCAATCTTTTACTTTCCATGTAAATGTAGTGTAACTGCCAATTTTTTCTTCTTGAATTGTAGTAGAAAATTTCCATTAATGACCTTTTACAGTTTATCCTTTAACTGATACATGAGTTCATTTATTAACATTTATTGAGAAATGAAGAGCAAACTAACTATTAATTGATGATGAATAGAATCTAATCTAACTCATTAACTTTTTTCCTTCTCTAGATCAAAAAAGGTTTACATATAAAGAAGAGTAGAGACTATTACTCGCATTTTATCAGCTTTTTCTTTTGAGTGCTTTCAGAGCAATTGAGAAAATCTGAAGTAACAGTTACAAATCTTATTCATGTTAACTTATAATATTTAAGCTGCAAAATGATTTTTTTAAATACAGAGTTCATAGTCAAAAAGTACTGTCGCTATAGTGTATTAATTTTGTGTCCTAATATTTTGTTAGTAGTTTATTCTAAATTTATTAGATTGTATTTATTATATTTTAGAGTACTCTCCAAGGTAAGGAAATTGCATTTTATCATTAGGCAAGAATCTTACTGGAAAGGATTTTCTTCTAACTGCATGCTATTTAACTTCCATTCTGAATTGGCCTTAGCTACACTAGCAATTCTGAATACTCTTAGATTTAAAAGTTGACTTCCAAGAGTAAAAATATGTATAATTAATTCTAATGAGGTAAACCATTAGCCTTGTCTCTTGCTGGATAGCTATTCTTGTGAATGTAATCCACATCACTCCTCACGCTCATGTCTGCTTGATCTGATATGATCCTGAGGCTAATCAGAGGTCCCAAAGGAAAACCTAATTAATTAAGTGTATGATTTTAAATTATCATGTTTTAGATTTCTTGAGTTGACTATTTTTAAGATCTTAGCTCAACTCCTATTATGTTAAATTGCAAAATAAAGTGTTTGTTGTATATTTTTTAAGCTGAAGCTAAACCAATTTGAATAACTATCAACATTTATATTTTAATGCTTAGCTGACTGTTGTGAAAGTCATCCTAGTGTTTTCTTTTGGTTTTGTCATGACTGGTCTGTCATTTGTTTTTGTGCAGGAGATCTTGTTGGATAATTCTGTGTTGGTAGGTCCCTGGCCCTTGATTCCTAACTTTTTTTGAGTTTTGCAGTGTTATTTCTTTGTGTCGTTTTTGGTTGTAGTTTATTTTCCTATGCATCTCTTTGTTTAAGCTAACCATTAATGCAAACTTCAGTATGTATAGCATGTTACATGGTGTTTATTTAATACCAATATAAGTAAATCCTTCCTAACCTTCTCCAGCTGATGCACTCACTCCTTGCACTGAATTTTGCATCATTTTGACTTAATTTATTAATTTCAGAATGAAATTGTAGTTATAGTTTGATTTAATTTCTATATTTTGCCTGCTTTGTTTGTTTGCCTTAAGCCACTCTATTAGTTATTTATATTATTAATATAAGTGCTGGAGAATGACATGGAAATATTAAGCCTTTCATTTTGCTTTGTGTGATAGCCTTCAATCTTTTTTCTACCAAACAAGTAAAGAGTACTTCCAAGCATGCTTTTTCTAAAAAATTGTTTGACCAGCCTGAAAAAATGCTGTACCTGCCTTGTATTATATGCTTGTAAAACTCCAGTTAAAATAGCTAGTAGATTTATTAACTTTTTTTATGATTGTCTTGTAGAGTGCTTTTTTGTCATTATTGTTAAATACAGCAGTAATCTTGGGCATAAGTCAACTTAATCTTTTTATATTTTAACTTCTCTGTTATCCTTTGTACTAGTTTCTAACAACAGGGTTTCTAAACATGACCAGAATGACATTACATCTTGAGACTTTTTCTGTGAATGATATGCCGCTCTATCCACTTTTTGAGCTCATGTAACACCTTGAGGGTAGAATAGAACATATATTTAAAGCTGTTCACGCCAAGCGTGGTGGCTCACACCTATAATCCCAGCACTTTGGGAGGCCGAGGTGAGAGGATTGCCTGACCATGAGTTCGAGACCAGCTTGGGCAACTTGGTGAGACCTCATCTCTACAATAAATCAGAAAATTAGCCAGGCATGGTGACGTGTGCCTGTAGTTCCAGCTACTTGGAAGGCTGATGCAGATGGATCACCTGGGCCCAGCTAGCCGAGGCTGCTGTGACCGGGAGCATGCCACTGCCCTCTAGCCTGGGTGACAGAGTGAGACTCCAACTTAAAAAAAAAGGAAGAAAACTGTTCACTGATGATATGTTTACAAACTTTTTGGGTTTTTTGTTTGTTTGGTTGGTTGGTTTCTCATGAAATTTAGGATTCAGCTCTCTTTGCATGTGTTTCTTATATATTCTTACTATCTTCTACCACCTACTCTTTTTTTCTTCTCAAAATTTAGCCTCTGCTCTTTAAAAAAAAAAACCTCACTTCAGTCCTCTTTTTTCCACACATGGCAAATCTAAAGATCACTATAAGAATTTGGCATTGTTTTTTTTAATTTTGCTTTGAAAATCACTATCTTAAAATACATACTTATGTTGTATACCACACCAAACTGATCTTTACTTTCATAGTAAGAACAAAATTAATTTAAAACCTGGAATTTATTTTACTTATGAAATCACTGAGTAAGACTGTACTTACTGTAGTTGATCATTTGAGTTATATCAGCAATCTTATTTATCATTTGTCATAGACACAACCTGTTGGGATTTATATTGTATCTGTAAGATATGTACATGTATATTTCAATACAGAAATATGTATACATGTAAAATTTACTGTTCTGTAATGTTTGTCTCTAGAGAGCGTTTTTGGTTAATATTTTCTAAGTAAAATGCTTTCTGCTTTTATTTGAAAATGGATTTACTTATTCTATATGTCATCTGAATAAAATACTACTGTTAGAGACTTCATTAACAATAACTAACATTTATCGAGCATTCACTATTTGCCAGATACTGTGGTAAGCACTTCACATGTTACTTTGTGTTACTGTCACAACAGCTCTGTGAGATGAAATTGTGTTACACATGAGGAGACTGAAGCACAAAGAGGTTAAATAACTTGCCCAAAGTCACACAGATAGTAAGTGGTGAATCTAGGACTCAAACTGAGACCGTTTGACTCTAGAGCCTCCATTTTAACTAATGTGCTATATTACCTATATGGATTTATGTAAATTTCTAACTTGGAAAATCATAAAACATTATAATATAGTTTGCATGAACACAAATGTATAAACTGCAAATAAATCCTTTCAATTGTATTCCTTTTTATCTCTCAAAACTATGTTTACTCATATAAATTCAGTCTTCTAACACTGTCAAAAGGCTTTTGTTGGGATTTATTTATAAATAGTGCATAATCTAATACACATATTACAACTTATTAAGCTGTTTCTAAATTTATAATCAGACATATATACTATAATAGTTTAAAGAAGTTTATTTGTATTGAATAAATTGTGTCTGGCCCACAGATGGGCTGGACAGAATCAGGAGAGGGTCCAGTGAATATCTATTAGGCTTAGTGAGTGACACCAAGAATTTTAGCTCTTTCATTCCTCAAATGGTATTTTTCAGGTGAATCTTTGTAGCCCCTACTTGTTACTAAGAAGAGCAGTATTGGCTTGTTTGCGTCAACTTGTACAGAGAGAAGCAGCTGAAGTTTCAGAACATGCTGTTATGCTTGCTAAGGATCGCAGAGAGGAATTGACTCCAGGTAATTTCTTTTGCTCAAGATTATGTCCAGCTCAAATGATTGAGTCTTAAATGTTCCTTGTATACTTGAGTTTTAATGCAAAATTTAAAAGTTAATAATCTTACACCAGCTACAAGAAACAGTTGCCGACTTTACTCTAACCAATGATGTTACTGGTTTAGAGCAAACCAAACCAGCAACATACAACTCACCTGGGAACTTGTTAGAAATGCAAATTATTGGGCCCCCTCCCTATCCTACTAAACCAGAAATCTGGTGTATAGCCCAGCATTCTGTTTTTTTATAAACAGAATGTGTTAATTCGGTCATGTGCCACATAATGATGTTCCGCATATATGACCGTGGTTCTATAAGATAAAATACCATATTTATACTGTACCTTATGTATATTTAGATACACAAGTACTTACCTTTGTGTTATAATTTCCTGCTATATTAAGTACAGTACATGCTATACAGGTTTGTAGACTAGGAACAATAGGCTATACCATCTAGGCTTGTATGAGTACACTCCATGATGTCTGCACAGTGATGACATTGCCTAAGGACACATCCAAACATACACCCACTGTTAAGTCATGCATGACTGTACTAAAGTTTGAGAGCCATTGGTTTAGAGCAAAAATAATCGAAAATTGGATTTAGCCATTAAGTAATGTATCATACATGTCTCCATTCCCACCAAAATCTTATTTTCACAATATTCACTATGAATGAGTCTGCTATAAATTAAAGGATTTTTAATGCCCCTTCTTGTACATTTTAGAGCTGAATCAAAGGATTTCTTAGCCAGTAATACTTGTGTGTATCCCTTCATTTTAAAACTATGATGTGAGTAACCTGAGCATGTGTATAAATTCAAAGAAGCTATTAACCTACAAAAATAATAATGATAATAATATCTTACACTTGTGTGTATATGGTTTTCAAAGTACTGTCATACTTTTAGAAAGTCATAGACTTTACAGAACTTTCCAATATCTTAAAACTTTCATGATGTGTTTTACAGTTAATAATCTATGTTTTTTAAATAAGAGTTTTATTTTTATATTAAAACTTATAAGTAACTGGGCCAGGTGTGCCCATCTTTAGTCCTGGCTGCTCAAGAGGCTAAGGCGGGAGGATCACTGGAGCCAAGGAATTCAAGGCCATCCTGGGCAACATAATGAGACCTTGTTTCTCAAGTAAAACAAACAAACATTTGCTTTAACATGGGTTAATCAGCATGCCTGGACTGCTATACAGGCATATCTGGGAGACACTGTGGGCTTGGTTCTGGACCACTACAATAAAGCAAGTCACTGAAATGTTTGGTTTCCCAGTGCATATGGAGGTTATATTTATACTATACTGTAGTCTATTAAGTGTGCAATAGCACTATGTATTTTTAAAAATATACATACTTTAATTTAGAATCACCTGAGTCTTCAGTGAGTCATAGTCTTTTTTGCTGGTAGAAGGTCTTGCCTCAATATTAATGGCTCCTGACTGAACAGGGTAGTGCTTGCTAAAAGTTGGAGTGGCTATGACAATTTCTTAAAATAAGGCAAAAATTAATTTTATCACATCAATTGATTCTTCTTTTCACGAAAGATTTCTCTGTAGCGTGCAACACAGTTTAATAGCATTTTACTTGCAGCAGAAAGTCTTTCAAAACTGGAGTCAATCCTCTCAAACCTGCTGAGGCTAAGCTAACTACATTTACATAATATTTTGAATCATTTGTTGTCATTTCAACAGTGTTCACAGCATCTTCAGCAGGGACAGATTCCATCTCAAGAAATCATCTAGAATGGTGAATCCTTTCCAGAAAGTTTTAAAGTGACTTTGCCCAGATCTATCAGAAGAATCACTATCTATGGCAGCTATAGTCTTATGAATGTATTTTTTTTTTTTTTTTGAGTTGGAGTCTCACTCTGTCACCTAGACTGGAGTGCAGTGGCCGCTCCCGGCCACCACAGGCTCGACCTGCTGGGCTCCGGCGATCCTTCCGCCTCAGCCTTCCGAGTAGCCGGAATTACAGGCGCGCGCTACCACACCCGGCTGATTTTTTGATTTATTGTAGAGATGAGGTCTCACCTGCCCAGGCGGGTCGCGAACCCGCGGGCTCAGGCAATCCACTCACCTCAGCCTCCCAAAGGCGTGGGATTACAGGCTGAGCCACCGAGCCCGGCTGAATGTATTTCTTAAACAATAAGACTTGAAAGTCAAAATTACTCCTCGATCTGGAAAATGGATGTGTGTTAACAGGCATTAAAACAACATTATACTTCTTATATACTTCCTCCATCAGAGCTCTTGGTGATTAGGTGCATTGTCAGTGAACAGTAATATTTTCAAAGGAATCTTTTTTTTTCTGAGCTATAGGTCTGAAGACCTAATTTATTCAGTAAACCTGCTGCAAATAGATATGCTGTCATCTAGACTTGGTTCTTTTGTTTATAGAGCATGGGCACAGTAGATTTAGCATAATTCTTAAAGGCTCTAGGATGTTGAGAACGGTAAATGGGCTTTGACTTCAACTTAAAATCAACAGCTGCATAAGCTCCTAACAAGAGAGTTCACCTGTCCTTTGAAGCTTTGAAGCTAGGCATTACCTTCTCTTTTGCTACAAAAGTCTTAAATGACATCACCCAATAGAAGGCTGTTTTGTCTACATTGAAAATCTGGTGTTTTTTTGGTTTTTGTTTTTTGTGAGGGGGCCGGGTAGGGTTTGTAGAGACAAGGTCTCAGTATACTGTGTAGGCTGGTCTTGAACTCCTGGCTGGACTAAAGCGTAACGCCTCTCAGAGTGATAAGATTATAGGCGTGAGCCCAGCTGAAAATCTGTTCTTGAGTGTAGTTCCCTCCCTCAGTGACCTTAGCTAGGTCTTCTGGCTGACTTGCTAAAGCTTCTACATCAACACTTAGTATCTTACCTTGCACTTTTATTTAAGGAAAACAACTTCTTTCCTTAAACCAACCTCTGCTAGCTTCAAACTTTTCTTCTGCAGCTTTTTCACCTCTCTTAGCCTTTACAGAATTGAAAAGACTTAGGGCCTTCCTCTGGATTAGGTTTAATGTTGTGACTGATTTTAACCTCTATCCAAATCACTAAAACTTTGTCCATGTCAGTGATAAAGTTGTTTCTCTTATCATTGTGTGTTCACTGGAACAGCACTTTTAATTTCCTTCAAGTACTTTTTCTTTGCATTTACAATTTAGCTAACTCTTTGGTGCACAAGGCCTAGCTTGGTTTTTACATGTGTTACTCACTAAGCTTAATCATTTCTAACTTTTGATTTAAAGTGAGAGATGTGCAACTCTTCCTTTCTCTTAAACACTTAGAAGCCATCATAGGGCTAATAATTGTCCTGATTTCAATATTGTTGTGACTCAGAGAATAGAGGTAGAAAGTGGCCCAGAGAGGGAGAGAGATGGGGTGGAACAGTCAGAACACACACAACATTGATTGGTTAAGTCCATTGTCTCATATGGGTGTGGTTTATGGTACCCCCAAAACAATTACGATAGTAACATTAAAGATCACTGATCACAGATCACCATAATAGATAGAATAATAATAAAAACATTTGAAATATTGCATTAATTACCAAAATGTGACACAGAAGCAAAGTGAGCACATGCTGTTGGAAAAATGATCCCTAATGATGGACTTGCTTGATGCAGGGTTGCCACAAAAACAAAAATGCAGTGTCTGAAAAGCGCAATAAAATGAAGTGTAATAAAGCAAGGTATGCCCATAGTTAATCATCAAACAGTTTGCAGAACTCATTTGAAAACTCTCCTGTGATTACTTCTGAGATCAGAGAAGATTGGGCAGTTATCAGGGTGGTATGCCCATAGGCATTTTGTGATTCCTTAGCTTAGCCAGAAAAATGAAAATCTTCTAGGTGGGGCTCGGTGGCTCAGCGTGTAATCTGAGCTATTTGGGGAGGCCGAGCAAGTGGAGTGTCTGAGCCCGGGAGTTGGAGACCCACTCTGGCAACTTGGCAAGCCCTCAATACCCATCTCTACAATAAATCAAAAATTAGCCGTGTGTGGTGGCACGTGCCTGTAGTTCCAACTACTCAGAAGGCTGAGGTGGAAGGATCACCAGAGCCCAGCAGGTCGAGACTGCGGTGGCCGGGAGCGGCCACTGCACTCCAGTCTGGGTGACAGAGTGAGACTCCAACTCAAAAAAAAAAAAAAAAATATATGTATATATTATATATCTTTATGACACTTGGCTGGGCACAGTGGCTCACTTCTGTAATCCCAGCACTTTGGGAGGCCAAGGTGGGAAGATTGCTTGAGCCCAGCCTGAGCAACATGGCAAGGCTTCATCTCTACAGAATAATCAGAAAATTAGCCAGGCATGATGGTACAGGCCTGTAGTCCCAGCTACTCAGAAGGCTGAGGCAGAGGGATCACTTGTGCCCAGAAGGTTGAGGCTGCGGTAAGCTGGAATGCCACTGCACTCAGCCTGAGTGGTAGAGTAAGACCCCAACTCAAAATATATAAATAAAATCTCTTTAGGGCACTCATTTTATATACGTCTCTCAGCGTAAATACACACAAACCTTTTGCCAAATTATATTAATGAAGGCTTCAGATATCATAACAGTTCACCTCTAAATACTTCATCTTGCATTTCCCGAGAAGGACATTCTCCTGCATGACCACACACCTTTCCACACCTAAGAAAATCAGCATTAATTTACAGTCCTCAAATAAATTTCCTAATTACCCAAAAAATGTCCTTTATGACTTCTTCCTACCTTCCACCTAAATCTAAGATCCAGTCATGATACATATTGCAGTAACTGTTACACCTTTTTAGACTCCTAAAAAATTCCTACCACCTCCTTCCGGTCTTTGAAAGATAATTCCTCTTTTAAAATAATCTAATAGCCTAATCTTTCAAATCTAGATACTTTGATAGGTACTTGATGAGTTAAATCTTTAAGAGAGAATTTATTTCTTTTTTTGGCATTTTCAGAATTAAAGGAAACAAATGCTAGATAAAGGCTTGTATTTCTTCTTCACTGCTTTATTACTTTGTAGTGAGAATATTGTGTAGTGACATGTTTATTCAGTAACCCACAATAGCCTAGTTATAGTAATTTAACGCTGTTCTCCATATAATGGTTGTTTTCATTAAGGCTTTACTCTCTTGTTAACAAAGTTAAAGTCTTTATACCAGAATGAGGAAAATGTAATTTTATTTATTTAAAGTTAGAGATCAGGTGCAGTGCCTTACATCTATAGTTCCAGCGCTTTGGGATACTGAGGTAGGAAGATGGCCTGGGGCCAGGAGCTCAAGATTGCAGTGAGCTGTGATTACACCACTGCACTCCAGCCTGGATAGCAGAGTGATACTCTGTCTCTAAAGAAAAATAATTAGAAAATAAATAATCAGCCAGATGCGGTGGCTCACGCCATAATCCCAGCACTTTGGGAGGCCCAGGTGAGGGGATTGCCTGAACCCACGGGTTCAAGACCTGCCTGGGCAGCTTGGCGAGACCTCATCTCTACAATAAATCAAAAAATTAGGGGCAACCCCTTTGGGTCTCCTCCCACTGTGGGAGCTTTTCTGTCCTCTCAATAAATCCTACTTTGTCAAAACAAAAAACAAACCAAAAAAGCCCAGAACCCAGGGGTTCGAGACCAGCCTGGGCAACTTGGCAAGACCTCATCTCTACAATAAATCCAAAAAATTAACTGGGTATTGTGGCGTGTGCCTGTAGTTCCAGCTACTTGGAAGGCTAAAGTGGAAGGATCACCTGAGCCCACCAGGTCGCGCCTGCGGTGACCATGATTGTGCCACTGCACTCCAACCTAGGCGACAGTGAGAGTACAACTCAAAAATAAAAAGAAAAATAATAAAGCTAAAAAACACTGAAAAAAATTTTTTTGTGTTGAACATTAATTGGTAAAAATTTTTATGTAGTTAAGAAGGCATTAATAACTCTTAATAAAGACTTCTCTTTTTTTTTTTTTTTTTTTTTG